TACCCATAAGTCTGGTGTACCATTTGATTATTTTTGTGACCGTTGGGTTGGTATCTCTTTGATACCCCGTCAGGATGACACCACTGTATCTTTTGGTCGATACAGAGACCACAAGTTCGCACGAGCGGTGACGTACGACGTTTGACCCTCACATTTTTTTTTACAGGTGAAGCAAAAATTGAAGTGGTTTTGAAGGTGTAAACCCATAGTCAGCATGAAGTTGCCAAAAAATTTAACAGACTGTATCAACTTCAACCAATTATATAGTGGTGTGAATGTAGTCTTTTAAACTCTGCAGCAACTTCACACTAACTAAAGTGTCCTCACCATCAAAATAACTTGAATTTGTTCCTCCTTATTCAGCACCAGACTTTATGTATAAAAAAATAAACAAACATCAACACAACTCCCATAGAACCAGACTTACAGGACACCCTGAATATAAATTAAATATTTTACACACACTTTGTTGCTTTGATAAGTTTTCTATAAAATCTGAATTATTTTATTTTATTTTATATTTTGTCAATCTTTTCTAACTTCAAAATAAATGTTAAAAAGGATATTAAAAAAAGTATATATTATTTCTTAAATAATTATTGATTCACTTATATGAACTTTCTCTTTTTTAAAACAAAAAATATCAAGTTACTTTTTTGATTGTATATAATTATATTTAAACATAGCCTACGTAACAAGATTCATAAAATTAAATATATCCTTGTAATTTTTAGAGAACCAAAAAAGAACATCCTTAGCAATCATTTCTTATATTTGAATTAAACTACAAAATATTTTATTATTTTATATAGAAACTGGATAGTATAGTTGTTCATAAAGATAATTGCTAATAAAAATATTAAAATGTCACATAAAATTGAATATTTCGAAACTATAAAATAAATGAAGATATTAAGTATAAATTCAACTTCATAAATGTATACATTACTAATTACTATTATCAAATATAAATGTGTGTATTTATGATATACTTAAAACTTTATCATAATTTAAAATTTCATATACAAGTTGGTAAATGTTTTTACATTTTCCAAATTTTATAACAATTTAATCAACTTAAATATAATGTTGATTAAATTATATATAATGTTCTTAATTTAATCAACTTCAGAAAAAATAAATAAAACCTCACATTCTAGTCTGAATATAAAAGAAATATCTTCATAAACTGCATGTGACTAACATCAAAGAAATAGATAAAAATTTAACTTATAGCCGATTGCAGCCGAAAATGAATGCACAATTTTTAAAATTCCTGTTATTGAGAAAAAATAATCACATGATGATGTTCATAGAAAGAACTAAGAAAATTAAAATCAGTTTATTAGTCTTTAACATATGAAAAGATTCTTCGAAGTATTTACATACGTAGACCTAAGTTCAAGTCGAATCGAAGAAAATAAAAATCTGTGAATAGTTTTTTTTTAAACTATAACAAATTTATGAGTAATGTAACTATAAATTTTTTCTAAAATATTCATGAATTGCACAATATTATTTAAAATTTCTGTGTTAAAAAGTAATTGAGTATAGACAATGGTTTTAATCAGGTGATGATGAAACAATATTAACACTTTTTAATTTTAATGAAAATTATATCTTCACACATAAAAACAGTTTGAAAGAACGAGGGAGAAGGGGTCTTTTTTTTTTTTATTTTTGTTTTTGTGTTTTGTCTACCTACTTGAGACCAAGACCTCTTAAATGCTGACCAATCAGTCTGATGATGTCCTGTTCTGTTTGAGATTTGATTTTAGTACCAATTTCATTATTATCGGTAGAGATATCGGGCAAATGATCCCCATTTTGTTCATCTTCCTTGATGCTCGTCGTTGCCCCATTGTGCATAGATGGACAGCCATTGGTGGTAGATGATTGCATCGCAAGACGTTGTTTTTTCAAAGGTGGAGGAGATACACCACCGTTGTCTGAATCTGCACTCGAGGCCAGGCTTGCTAACGATTAAACTCCGTAATATATTCACTTTTTTAAGTTCCTTTGTTCCTAACACATTCGCTAACAACAAAACGCCACAAACACAGCTGTCTACTACCGACCTCGCTCATCCAATGTTTTCATCTGTGACGTCATTTCAGATTTGATGACTTTTATTTGTTAGTTTTTATAAAAATTTATCGTTTAATATTTAGGCACCTACTATGTGCCTCTTTTTCGGATTGATCTAGTATGCTGATCAATCTGATTGCATCCACACATAGTGTTGTTGTCATGCTGGATAAACAATTCAGATAGGATGATATGTTTCCTGGGCAGTTGCCAAGTATTTATTTCCATGTCTATATTCCGTCAAATTTACAACTATATGTCAACCTTGAGACAATGTTTGAGGTGCAAGGTGAAAACATGACCAAGCAAAAGTACGTTGACTAGAAGACAGGTTAGCCTCGGTCTGATGTCACATAGATTGGAAATAGTGGTCAAGTGCCACATTGCCAACTGCCGCAATATCTTTCTGAAAATTGAATTATAAACATACCTGTTCACCACCATCTTTGATGAGATTCACAGCTTTATATTCATAATCGATTCCTTTTAATGCCAAGGCTAGAAAACAATAAATTTGATAACTTGTTATTTTTATTCTTTTTTTCAATTGTAAGTCATTCATTGTTGATAATAATATCAATAAAAATCAAGTTTTACATCTTACCAATATTACATATATTATGTCTATATATAAAATGATAGTTAATATCTGTGTACAGTCGACCCCCTATAACACTGTTGATAACTTTGTTTTATATGAATTCCATGTAGTACGAGTCACTTAGATTTTACAAATACGTGAGCTGTTCACAGCCTGGCACACGTATTTGTAAAATCTAAGTGACTTGTACAACATGGTACNTAAGATATAAAAAAAAAAGTTTAATTTTAGTCGCGCGCGCGACGCCCAGAAGGTGGAATCGAACCACTCTGACGTTAATCAGCTACGGGTTTGAAGCCCGCACCCCGGACCACCGAGGTTCATCTGGGCGAAAATTAAGTATTTTTAAACTATATTTATATGCTGCACTATATTGACGATTTTCTCGCTGGTGTGTAATTATTAAACGTTTATTCTTTCCAAAATTTCTAAATAAAACATTCAAAAGTACGGAAAATAAACTAAACCGATTAATAATACCATAAATTTTATAAAAGGAAACGGTATATTCCGCGTAAATTTTTGTTAAATGCGAGTAAAGTACTTATATTCATTATATTTTATTGTACAACAACGCCATCTACGTATAACCGTTGCATCTACATCGGGCGGAAAGATGGCGGCTGGAAGACTATGACGTTACTAGCATAATCGTATGATTCGTTTATACGTATTCGGATGCTTCGCTTTTAAACGTTTATTATAATTTGAGACTTTCCATCGCCAGTAGTAATACGAAAGCGTTATTATTAACGACGTTAAAGAAATTATTTGTGTGTTTTTTGTAGGACCAATGTACGTTGTCCAAGATGGCCGACAGTGGTGCACAACAGGCCCTCATGGTCAATGGAGAAGTCGGTCTTGCCGAAGATATCAGTGCCTTGGTGACATCGCAGACTACTGTTACAGAAGTAAGTACGGCAGATATATTACAACAAGCATTGGAACAAGCGTCTGGTGAACTTAATCAAGTTGCTGTTACATACGATAATGTTGAAAATGCTGTTGCTGTTATTCACGGAGAACTGCCAGCTGACAGTGGTGCTGTTATTGTTACCGAAAACAAACAAATCGAACCCGATAATCAAATGGAAATGGTTCATTTACCAGACTCTCAACTTATTGACAGTACAGAAGCACAAAATATACCAGTATATCAAACTGAAAATTCTGCAGACATTACAAATGAAGTTGACTCATCAACTAATGTTATTCCTGATACAGAAATGGTTGCAGTTTCTTCAACTGGTGAAAATCCAAATACAGATCTCTGTAATATTTCCAATACAGAAGAACTAGATGTCACTGATCAAGCACTTGCAGATTCTGTAAATCTCGAAGATGTTTCTGTTAGTCCACAGACGGGTGTCGATCTATCTCATTTAACTTTACCTCCGAAATCTACTTCGGCACCTTTAGGCTCAAGCGCTAATCCAATTCAGATTATACAACAAGGAAATACGTATCATTCGACACAAGTTCTTACACAAGATCAATTACAACAGATTGCCCACGTTTTACAGCAGCAACAAGTTAGTAAAGCTCTAAATAACGGTGGAAAAGCTGTGTTATATAATCCTGCGACAAATACTCGAATAATCTACAGAGTTATATATCCATCTGAACTGAACAAAACCTCAGATAGTGAAAGAGATCATGACGGTTCTTTTCAAAGAGGTGGACCTTCGTCGAGGGGTAGAGGTCGACCCCGTAAAGGATGGGGTAAAAAGAATGAAGAAGATGAAAACAAAACAGAGGGTCCAGAATTGTCTAGAGAAGAGAAGGAAAAACGAAAGAAACATAGACCTCGTACTCGTTCTGGAAGGATCTCGAAGCCTCCTGCATATATGATGAGAGATTATAAACGCATTCATCATTTAGATTTTGATGAAGAACCTTATGATGATTCGGATGGTGGCTATTCTGATTACCAAGTTAGTGATGAAGATGGTGAAAAGCGATCATATAAAGCATGTCATTTACCTCCTGGTGAGATTTTTTTTTATTGTTTAAAAATATATATATATATATATATTTACATTTTTATATTTTAATTTTGTTTAGCATTTTATATATGATTATACATATTAATGTTCCAATTTATTTAAATTAATAAATTTAATATAAGTATAATTATAATCCAGAGTTATTTAGTACCAAAATTAATTTGGTAATTTTTAGCATTTAATTAATAAATTTTAAAAAAATATATAAATTCTACTGATGATTTTGTTTGGCAATATTCCATTAATATAAATTAATTATTTAATTAAACATAAAATTTAGTAAGTCTTTATCACAGTTACTTTTTAATATGGATATATCTCAAAATATAAAACAGATGATGATATTCTATTATAATGATGGTAAATCTTTATTATTCTCTTAAGTATAATTCCATTCAATCTGTGAAATTTTGGAAAATAAATTTACAAAAAACTATTTAGAAAATTTTAATAAAGGATAAACATTAATGAAATTATAGTTCTGCTTAATAATAATGCTTTATAGGTCCAATTTGGATGATGAGGTTCAAAAATTTGATCATAATGACAATCCAGTTTTTGCTTTAACAGATAAGAAAAATGTGATAATTTTATACTGTACAGTTTTAGATACTGCAATAGACTTTTATAAAATTTGAAAGATGTGAAATTGGGAGTCCAGCTTTAACTGTGTTATATCATATATAAACCATAATGAAATTATGAAGCATTTCACTTACATGATTGGCTCAGATGCTCCCATATCCTTAATATGAATAGCACTCAGGATAGTCATCCCACACTTATCTTACAGCAAAGTCATGACAATGGACTTGATATAGTGTGTACACAGTGGACGCTCTGGGCATCCAATGAACACTTTAATTGAATAGCTGTAAAGCCTGCCCAATAGTGATCATAACAAACAATTGGTCAGTCCTCACAGCACTAATATGTATAACCCTGACCTCTTCATTCCTCTTGATAACCTTGGTGGCTCTTATTACAATCCTTCCCATCCCAATAGCCATACTAGGTATCTCATTTCTTGATCCTTTGCTTATCCTGGAATTTTGAGAAAAAAGTGATTTATTTCCAGGGATCCTGGGATATAATGAATTATTTTTAAGATATGACCACCGAGGTTCATCTGGGCGAAAATTAAGTATTTTTAAACTATATTTATATGCTGCACTATATTGACGATTTTCTCGCTGGTGTGTAATTATAGAAATTTTCACAAATAGAAAAAATTTATTAAAGTTTGTTGGAAACTACTTACTACAACAACAACAACAAAAAAAAAAGACTTTGAATTGATTGAGTTGAAAATTTAAAGAAAAAATGAATTTAGATTAAACTTCTAACTTAGAAGATAATAAGAAGATAAACATAATACAAAATATTATTGTAAATTTTTATAATAAGATTTTAGAAAGCAAAGATAGTCAATACTCCAATCTGGTTATTTTAGTAATGAAAATGCCTGCTACCAAGAATGTCCTTTATGATTCAATTGATGTGGGTGGAATTGTCTTTAATGCATTTAAGAGAAGATAGATGTTATGTGTTCACCTGTAGCCTCAAAGATTTCTAGTTTGTTTTCAAGATGTGTTGCAATACTTCTTTTGCTGTCTATTATTCTTGATTTGTCTACCTCAGCTGCTTTAACTGTGACATCAAGCTTACAGCCTGATAATTTGTATTTCGTTTGGCTTTAATAATAAGGTTTATGAAGAAAAACTTCATAGTTGCATACTTCTTACTCGTTTGTATCCTTGTCCAATTTGCACAACCTGGCATAATGCAGTTATTTAAGCTACTGGTCATAGTGCAGTTATTTAAGCTACTGGTCATAGTTAAAAATTAAGACAGCTTAAGTGCAATTATTCAAGATATTACAGTTCTGATAAGTAATGAATTTTCAGAGTCCTGCCACAAATAGGCTACATATTGATTATTAACAATCTGTGACATGTTATAACAAGCAAAAATTTAAAAAACTAATAAGCAGACTTAAAATTAATAAATACAAATGTCTTGACAGTTTGAGTTAATTATACTTTCTATTTGCAAAATTTCCTCAATCTTAACACAAAATAAGAAAAAAGTGAACTTTTAAGAAATTTGTGGGATTTCCCGGGATGAGAAGAATTTCTTGGGTTAAAAAAAACAGCCAGGATTCCAATAGAGAAACCCTAAACCATACTATGGTCTCCAGGCCACTCAGGCATTCCACTTAACAAGGCAGTTGACCACATGGCCCAATTAAGGATATTGTCCAGTTCTATCTTGTGTTCTCAAGGTGGGAACACTAGATAAAACCTTCCACTTGATCTGATGAGAGCCATTGCCCTGCATTACAGGAATTGACTGTCCAAGATTTGATCATCTACTTTTCAGGAAAAGGGTCATAACCACCTCTGCCCTTTCCATAATTGGCCAGACTGACATATGAAAACTATGCAGTGTGACATTTGGAGGTCATCCTATGTCATCTCTGCACAGAGACAGCTCTGCTCAACACTATTCTTTATTTACAGGGCTTATCTCCTCTCTAGCTAATCCATGCTGTGACCAGGAAAAAACTTTGCCTTACTATTGGCCTGTCTATCTGAAAGACAATAAGGAATGCTCAACTCTGGGATCTTTTCTACATATTAACCTGGAAATGTTGACTTCCTCGTCTTCAGTCTGCTGGTCCAGAACATATCAGTCTCCCAACCATCACATTTTTCTGCTGAATAGGTTTCTTCTTGTAACCAATCTAGTAGCAACATTGAGGAAAAGACTTTACGATTGGAACCTCCATATGAACAATAGTAAAGTGAAGTGATATGATTGGCTGTATTAGTCTAATGTCAGACGATTATAATTTCACATCCATCATTTTTCATGGACGTCATGGGATTGCATAAAACATATGGGAGAGGTCAGATGAATGCGGATGCAAAAAATCATGTTGCGTGACACAGGTAGGACACTGGATTGTTTGCAATAATCTCATGATGTTGTGTGGCTGTATTTTGGCTAGACTCCCATTTGAGGGAGATACACTTCAAGTCTACGATCGTCAGACGAGCATGAAAAACGATAGATGTGTTAACATTGTTTCTAGGAAGTGCTGGATCGGTGTCATTTCTGTTGAAGGGTGTACGGTACCCGCATATTCTAAAATATGGACATGGATATTAGTAAAATGATCATACAAATTAGTGATGGGCCAGAATTAAGAGAAATTTCATTTGAACTTTATAAAAACAAAAATAAGAAAAAGGAAGACTGGTTATGACCAAATTGCATCCTTTTTTCTTTTTTTTTTTTAAGTACTTCTGTACATAATAAAAAAAAAATCACTTCACAATCTATGAGATCCATGTTGACATATACACGTTTGAAATGAAACTGATTGCCGATGCACTCCGTGAAAAATACAATTCGTCTAAAAACTACCTTTCTGTCTGTAAATTGAAAAAACAGCATCCATGCATTTTTACACTTGTCTCACATTAGCCTTATCCATGTCCATTGAAATTTTTTCCCTGAGTTCATTATATGACTAAATTTTTTATTTATAAATGAAATATGTGAATCAATAATTTGGATCGTTATTCATTGAGCTTGAATATTTTTGTGTATCTTACTGCAATTTATTTTTAAGAAGAATGTACAGTAGAGCATCGTTTATCCGAATCAATTGGGGACTGGGGTTGTTCAGATAACTTATTTTTCGGATAACCGATTATGTACTGTACAAAAAAATATATTGAAATTTACTTAATTTACTTAAGAGATGGCGCCTAACGCCTACCTCTAATGACAAATTACTTTATTCTAATCATTTAATTAACCACATAGTAGCCCGATATTTAGGCGATCGTTTGGCAATTTATTGTATATACTATTTCGGGCTCTGAGTTGTTGTTATTTATATTGAAATCCCATCCCATGTTGAAATTTTTCTCCAGTTGCATGTCGCTTCACGTTGAATTTTCGTCGATGTTAAGCCTAATGTAAACTTTTTAAAATAATAATCGTGGCTATTGTATCATAAAAAATTATTTTTTTATTTTTTACAAACAAAATAAATATATTGAAAAATGTAAAAACAAAAAAATTATACTTTAGAAGTTAATCTAGTATCAAAAACGTTCGATTCAGCATAACACACAATCCTTAGAAAAACACCACACAAAAGTGCCAGTGCTGCCAGCTAAAACACACACATCAACAAAAAAAAATATTGGAGGAGCTGAAGATATAGCCAAAGATTGCAGCGCCACAGCACTAGTGAAAATTTAAATTTGCCGACTGGAATTCTTTCGGATAACTGACTTTCAGATAAACGACGCTCTACTGTATATATATGATGTGGAATAGAAAAGTTGCAATTAGATTTATAGTGGCTATATTCAGCAGACTATTACTAGTTGAGCAGAGTATGTAATGGTAACTGCTATGTAACAGCAATAGCTCTACTAAATGATGAATTAAGAGTTAAGACAAATTGGTGGCATTACAGGAGCTTTCACTCCTTTCCAAAAACTTAAAAACATTCTACAAAGTAAATTAAATTCACTCTTTAATACGCATAATACTCATCATATTTTGGCTAGACTCCCATTTGAATAAACTGGGGCATGGTTGTATGACTGGTTGCCTACCTGATCCAACCTTCCTTCTTTCTAACAAGGAGAGAGCCAGATGTTTGGGTCTCCAATTCAAACAAAACTTGGTGAGCATGTAGCCCTAAACATAAACAACTCCTTGTCCAAATAATAGGACCCATGTCTTCTTTCAGAAAAACAGACCTCTGAAAATTGAGTGTTTAGCTTATAAGTCTTTGGAAGTTTCACTTCTTATAATGGCAACAGCTAAGTCTGAGTGGTTAAGACACTCAACACTGGAGCTACACAATGTAGGTTTGAACCTTTGCAATTTTTTTTTTTTTATGTATAACGAAATTGTTTTATTATTTTACTGTATTCTTAGTATAATTGTTAC